ACAGGATTGACGTCATCTCTTCCCTTTTGAAATAAATCGTCCAGGGACTTCAATAGCGTCGCATTTTTATTGACCTGGAATGGTTTGTTCAATTAGACCAAGCTATACGCGATTATAGAAGCTAACTCAACAAGTTTTTCAATACAATTTCAAGAGTGAATTACAATAACCTCAAATGAACAAATCAAATATGTAACATTGACCCGATTTCAATTTTTTTTTTTAATCTAGCAAGTTATGGAATTGAACATATCATAGTGAACCGCAGCAGCCACATTGGTGAGTTCAAGCATTAAACTTGGGCTTATAATGAACAAAGACAAACCAGTCTGCGGCGTTTTGCTTTGGGAGAAGTAAATTTCCTGACGGTCTTGACAAAAGCAAAGACAAAAGTAAGCCCAGCGTAAGCCAGAGGAATAGCAAGAATCCAAGGCAACGAGCTTGTACCAACTCTAGGTCCAGGAATGGCCTGAGTGACAGAACCAGTGAACTCCACCAGGTCCAAGGCCTTTTCCTGAATCCAAGGCAGCTCTTCCTCCACTTCCACCTCAATTTCCTTCCTCTCCGAAGCTACTTGATCATTTGGGTTGTTTGATTTCTTGCCGCTTTGAACAGGGTTGGCATTGGAATTGTTCTTCGATGCTGCTGCTGCACGGAATGAGGAAAACAAGAGATGGTGCTTTGTTGGAGAGTGAACACCAGTGAAGAGGAAAGCGGTGCGTTTAGTGGAGTGAAAAGTCAACAAAGGATTCTTTGAGCGAGGGAGTAGTTGAGAAGCCAGAGAACAAGAAGCGGAAGCAAAAGCCATTGGAAAAGAAGTGGGAAGTCTTGCTTCCCAGAGGCAAGAGCCTTCGGCTTAGGTTTGCATCCGCATCGGCTAGATTGTGCTTCGCCGGGCTTTGAAATGTCGTCGTTTGTTAAATATACTATGTATTTGTCATAAGTTGTTCACCTCTTACTATTTATTTGACATTATTTATTTTTTATTATTGGGATGTTTTATAATGTTTACGTGACTCTCACTGAATTTAATTCTACGCTACTCATAACTAGATTTTTACCCATGCACGGGAATAATCAATCATACAAGAATAATATGAATAACCTGATATAAATTATAAGATTAGATTGAAAACAAGTGATTTTAATAATTTAAACTAATTCAGACACATATGATGATGCATTTTACAATTGAGTTAATTCTTGGAGTTGCTATGTTTAGAGGTTAGCAAATCTTGAAAATATTGATTTTTTATTTAAATAGAAACCAAGTTTTCAATAACTTAATATTAATTTGCTTATTAGGTAATATTTTGATAAATTTTATATAATATATATATATATATATTTTCCCTTGGAAAATTGTTTTGAATTGGGTATATTATTATTTTTTTGTTATAAGAATACATGATTTTTGTGGATTGATTCTTGACTAAATAAACCACATTAATGCTGCATAATATTCACAAATGTATAAAGGGTCTCCTTCATCCAAGTACTCCATATAAACAATAAGAAAATAATAACATTCACATAAAACTCAATAGAAAAATTGTTGTCCAAATATTTACCTATATGTTCATAATGTTACATTTAATTAATCTTGTTTGGCAGTGACTTCATAGATTGAATTTAAAAATCAAGTTACAGCTCTATGCTTAATCCCTGTGCTTGCTCCCTTTCAAATTCTATACCTAGATTAAAAAAATTGAAGAAATTATATAGCCCATATCAAATAATATAGGCTAAAAGAACAAATTAGCCAATAAATTTTAGATCCAGAAATATTTAAAATCCTAAACTTATTTTTGATATAACATTTTTTTTAACTTTTGAAAACGGTGCAATTTAACCTCTAGAATAGTAAAAATTAACTTTTACCATAAAATGATATAAAAGAATCCTAAAAATTATAAAAAAAATACCAAAATATTATAATAAGAGACTCAAAAATTATAGAAAATGACCAATAAAATTTTATTAGTCGTTTTTTGTGGTAAATTTTGAGTCTTTTTTTTGCCATTTTTTGATAAACTAATAATTAAAATTAACTTTTGTTAATGGTAGGAGTCGGATTGAAACATTTTTAAAAGTTAAAAAAAATATCATACAAAAAATAATTTTAAAATCATGGAGGCTCATGAACTTAATTTAGAGCCAATTTATCATTTAACTCAATAATATAAAGACCGAGAAGAAACATCATAAAGATAAAACATAAAGAGAAATGGATAAACACATCATTATTTTTTTTTTCTGTTAGATGATGAAACTATGAAAGTAAAAAAAAATCGTCCTTCTTGAAATTCTAGACCATTGAAAGAAGTATTCATTAAAAAAAATTCATAAATGTAGAACACATTGAGCACTTCATGTCCAAACTTTTCTACACATTCCTCCTCAATTTGTCAAGACCATTATTTTTTAAGAAGGATTGAAAGAAGAAGAAGCGCGGGCCTGAAGGGAGGAAAAAGAACGAAAAAAAAAAAATCCATGGACATTGGAAAATTAAGAGGGGAACTCAAATGATGCAAGACAAATATTATGTTTGGGAAGTACTAAAGGGACAGGGTTGGAAATTTACTGTATAAGGAACAGTGAAAAGTGCAATGGAAAAAAGAAGGAAGAAGTGGAGTGCTGAGCACACGGAACCAACAAATGGCAAAGGCAAAGGTGGAAACTCAGTGTATGAGGAACAATGCCAATAATGCACTTTTTTGGGGGGAATAAAACTGGATTCCAATACTAAAACATTGGAAACAGTACAAGAAATCTACAAGAAACAGAAGAGAAAACCAAGATGCTAAAAATCTAGAGCAAAAACTCTTTCATCATCTTTCAAAAACTAGACAGCAAATGGATGATGATTAAAGAAACAAAAATAAGTTACAAAATTGTGAGATAATTTCGCTAAAGAGTCTGCATTAGTATTCTGTTTACAGTAGATATGATTAAAAGTAACATACCCACTTCTAAGGGGAAAAGATCTAGCCTTCTCAACTATATCTCTAAAAGGTTAATTGGGGTCACAACTTTTAATAATTAAATTGATAGCTTCCAAGCAATTAATAAAGACAACAATATTATGCAAATCACGGTCCCAACATAAACTTAGTCCCTAATTGATGTCAATAGTTGTACAACAACAAGTGGATGAGTTTAGAACTGAAACCACATATCAACCTACTAGCTTCATCTCATAGAACTTCTTCCTTCCTTATCCATAGAACCATCTACAAAAAGCTTTGTGAAATCTTGATTTTCAAATTGAACTTGATTTGAAACCAAAGAAGAAGTTTTATAAAGAGGATAATTGTTTACTAGTTCTATATCAATTATAGCTCCAAATAAACTAGACATGCTGTTTGGGCTAATCTCCTCATTCTCAGTATTAAAAACATAACTGTATTTTGTCCCCCAAATATCCCAACAGATATAACCAAATAATGTAGTGCAGGGGACTTTCTTGGTATGATCCAACCCTACCTCGTGCAAGAGATTCCATTTGACCCAATCTACACCCTGGAGTGAGAAAAAAGCTTGCTACATATCATTCTTCAACATAGAATTCCATCGTCTTTTGCATTCTTATAGTCTTGAAGCAAATGTATGGAGTCTTCCTTGGTTGTGCATCCAAACCAGTAGAGATCACTTGCTTGAATTCCTCTTCTAGCTCCTAGCTCTATTGTGTGTGCTTTTCCATATGTGAACATCCACATGAAAAATTTGATCTTTTTCGATACCTGCCATCTCCACAGAATTTTCTAGATGCTATCTCACTGTTGATGAATACCTACATAGAGAAACTTGTAGGTTAAGTTAACAAAAAAGGACCTATTTGAGGATGGCTTCCAATAAAAACAGTCCTCTCCTCTTTCCTCATGGGGCAGATGTGCTTGAATTGAACGATCGACCATCTGTCTATCAAATAAAAAATTTAGTTTATTTATATCCCAATCATCATGAATATTTAGGTAATCGGCTGCCACTTCCTCCTTATTTATATAGCCTTCATAACCCAAAATAAGATCAATCAGAGGAGTATTTAGTTCAGACTAGTTATCAAACTAGAAAAATGTAGCAATTCCATTGCCAATTTTCTTGCCCACTCCTTTTTTGAAACTTTCCTAGATATCACAAATGCTCCTCCAAGTAAGTGAGAAGTTCTAATTCTTCCTTACTTCAAGAGTGATTCCTAAACAACATTTTTACTTAGTTTTTAGGACTCTAACACATAATGCATCATTGATCGCCATTAATTTCTAACATAATTCCATTATGAAAGCTTCATGTTGTTTCCTCAGTTTCTTTTATTCCCGAGCCACCATCCATTTTGCCTTTAGTGATATGATCCCAAGCCATGAGGTGCATTATCGTAGTATATTAATTTTAAGTAAGTTAAATACATATAATTGCAATGATTTTAGATGAAATAAAAAAAATTAAACCTTTATTTAAAGTAACTCAATTGAATATTTCAATTTATTCATTTAAATAATATTGTTAGAATGTGTTTTTAAACAATAATAATAAGATGGAAATAAACAAATAAAACCACCATGGTTTCCAAAAGTCCCAACAACAAATTCATTAATTTTAGGATTAGGCTAAAATAGAGTTTGTTTTTGCCTTTTTGGTCATCAAACAACAAAATAAACATTTGATAGACTTGCTCCAACTCTATCCAATTCTGGTCTTGGTTGGCTACTAGAATATCAGACAATTTATCAAGGAACATTTGATTCAACTAGTCGAGGAATCAACATATCTCAAGATCTTGAATTGGAATCATAAGATATGCAATCACATTAAGCAATGCTAAAGGCATCCTCGAGATATCTATAAGGTTTGTCATTCATAATAATAGTCCCACACAGTAGAAATTCAAATTAGTCTAAACAAAAGGTGGTACTGCCCCCAAGTTTCCCAAGATACTGGATGACAGAATATATATATATATATATATATATCTATTGAACAGTTTCTTTGATACACAGTACTGAAATGAAGAGCACATGCTCCCATTGTAATTTTTCATATGAATTGGTACGCATTGAGGTTAAGAGTACAAAATCTGTCACAACAATTACACAGCAAAATAGATCATTTTAGTTAGAGCCTCAAAATACTTGACTAAGCACTCCTCAGCCTCAAAAAACCCCCCTCCCAAAATACAAATAAAAGAGAGTAAATATTGTACAGCTCAATGCATATTTTTGCGGCACCTTAGTGAAAAGAAGAGATACAAATTTGGCTGTACTGAGGTTAATAATGCCAATTGATCTAAAAGCCCAGTTCAGATCCTGTAGTTCTTGTAACCATAGTCAGGGTCCGTCATTCCCTCTTCCCAATCGCCCATACTACGTCCACCAAAAACTACCTGTTGGATACCTAGATATCTGCCATCAAAAGTAAAGGTCAATCATGACTTGTTTGCAAAACAGAAGAACTTCTTCGCATTTATGGTCATTTCAACTTACTCTGAGCTTAAGGAAGTTAGGCAATTGAGGAGGACATCAATGGCAAAATAATCGCATGTACCAAGGTCAACCCTGCAAGAGATGTTCATAGTTTAATCACGTTCTGATGATAACAATCTAGATCATTTTACAAAAGATCAGTGTTCTAGAGGATATACCAAACACGTCCCCACTTATCTTGAAACTCAATGTCACCTATATCGTGGAAGGATGATGGCATCACTTTGAAGCCCTTCTCAGAATCATAGAGAGGATCGTACTCCATAGATGAATTTGCCAACTGCCACCAATTTAAGATGCTTCAATTTTGTTGCTAAAGGGTATCAAGTACAGGTAGGAATGGATGACAATCACATAACAGAGCAAAGCTGAAGCAGTCAACTCATACCTAGCGCAAGCCTTATTTAGGTGGGGTCGGAACAAAGAACAACAGCGCTCCTCATCTTAAGCAAAGAATAAAAGAAATTCCATGCAGGAAAATGTATCGTATAAACATCCTCACATTTTAATCAAGAACCACTTTATCAACAAGCAATAAATGAACAGCCAGGAAAAACCACACAAAACTGATAACCACAACCACAAGAGTGCATGATAATTTAAAGCACATGAATAAATATATAGTTGTCTCCAAAATCTGCATTACACTGCAAAATCTAAACACAAACATGACAAGTCACAAGGTCAAACACTCACAATCTGCTGCAACTCAAACAGTTGTATTCCCAAAATACCTCTTTAATACCAAAAATTACTCAAATCAGCAGAAAGAACAACAATATAGCTGATGCACACACACAGCACCGTAAACAATACAACCTGTCCCATAAATCTTTTTTGACCAGCAACCCGTCGTATGTATCAGGGCATTTATATTTACCCTACCAAAAATCAAATATAGGATGCCATCTAGCATTGCTTAGAGGAACAGTCCTGTTGGAATGTAGATGTGGAATTGCACCCATGACAGCATTTTCATGGATCTATTGTGCATTATGTTGGACATTGTCATCATAAATTTTGTCACAGGAAAAATATGACACTTAGACAGAAACTGAATTTTGAAAGAGATCAACAGACAAAAAAATCAATAGTGAGGGAAAGAAAACATGATCTTACCTGCAAATTAGAAGAATTGAAGGCACCAAGGCGACCCATAACATACCAGGATTGAATAACCTGCATGTTCAAATATATCAAATAGTAACGTTTTATAAGCAAATGCAACCATGTGGCAGCATCAATGTAGCAATGCATATAAAGCATGTTGCCACTCGCCACCAAAAATAAGAAGGGTAAAACATCCTTAATTAAACACTTACACTACCAATTAGATTAATGTCCCGATCAGATGGTGATCCAAACAATTCAAACCATATGAATGAATCACCTGGATTAAAGCTGCAAAAGGCATGGCATGAGAGTAGCAAAGGATAGGAGTGATAGAAGGTTCCAAAAAATGCAAACAATTTTTGTCACATAACACAGACTGACACCTAAGGAACTCAACTCATGATATAGGTGAACCCATGCCATCTTCATCTGTTTTATTTCTCTAGTTGGATTCCTCCCATATGTATGATTGAAAAAACTTTAAAGAGCCATCAAATTACAAGGATTCCTTTTCATGTACTATTTACAGCTTCCAAACAGAACATTGTTTCTTTTTTCTGTGAACCACCTTAACTAAACTCCCATAGAACTTCAACTTTGCTGTTTTCTTCCCCTCTATCGATCCTGAAAGCTGGATCATTTCTCAGATTGGTTACATCAGTTTGACTGAACCAACAATTAATCACAATTTTTTTCCTGTGTAATTATGTGCATGCAGATTCTTACAAGAACCACTTCTGCTCGAAATAAATATTAATTACAGCAGCATGGATCTTCAATCTATCCATTCAAAGAGTCCAATCTCATCTTTTCACTATTAGCCAGTTTGAAATTACAACATATAAAAGAACATGCGTGCAGATATGAGATATATGAGATAGAGAGACGAGTGGAGGAGGTAAAAAACATAAAATGAAAAGAAAGAGCATATAATGTTTTTACTCTCTAAAGCTGACTTTGAAAGCAAGCACAGAGCCTGTTTTGGATTTATGAAAGTCTCTACCCTTCTTTCGGACTCTATCTTCTACCTGCAACACATTTCACCAGCTTTATTAACATTTCAAACACAGTACCAACAAAACAAGGTGTCTGATAAGCATGAAGAAGAGCTTCCAATATAAATGACTTATTGAGGAAAAATATGAAAAAGGAAAAGAAAGAAAAACCTATTAGTAATAAAGGTTGTAGGTTCTTCTAAAAGTGGACAAACTGAATAGTTTTAGATGAACCCACGTCATCACAGTCAAGGCAATGATTTGAAAACAGGTAAATGGTGTTATCACCTTATCAGATATAAATGCAAGAAAATTCATTTTCAGCTGTCAACAGGAGAATCGACTGCTTATTGGATTGATATAAACACAGAAAACAAAAATTCAATTAGTTGCTTAATTATCCCATTTATACAGGGTTGCTGCGGAGAATCCAACAAATTATAATTAATTTTCACAAAATTTGCCAATGTCCATTAGTACAACTTTATATCAATAAGCTATTACATTAATTAACCACGATTATTTCCTCTATTTTGGGATGAAGAAGCCAAAGCACCATCGCCTTTTGGCCATAAAAGGTGCTGAAATGCACAAAACACTAGCCAGAAGGACCCAATAATTAACATACCCGTTTCCTCATGAGTTCAGGGTTGCCAATGCTGTCTCCAAGAACAGCACGGAGCTCAGTATCATCTTTACAAGCATCTTCGAGGACTCTGAAAGAAAAGCAATTATTTGTTAAGCCAAGCGCCGATAATTATTACTTTGAAAAGAACGCAGGCAGGAAAGGGGGGAGTGAGGACTTGGCCCAAGCAGGGTAATTGTGAACACGGTCGTGTTCTCGTTGCCGCTTCTCTTCGCGAATTCTGAGCAATCTACGACTCCTCGCACTAGTTCCCGAGCCTCTGATGTGTTGGTTACTTCCACTGGTAGAAATCCGAGGATTATCATTAGAGGAGGAGGAAGCAGAGACTCGAAGAGGGCTCAAACTCCGAGGAAGAAACTTAACAAAGACAACGGAGGAGTGGGGTGAAGAGGATAAAGAGGGAAGATAAGCGTTGGAATCAGCGTTGGGAAAGCAACGGCAGGAGCAAAAACTGCCGCTTGAGCTCATCTCTGCGGATTACATGCACTCTCGAAATGTCAAGCTTCACTGCGTCTACATCCCAAATCATCTCTCAGGAATATCACAAGACACTCCAAAAGAGTGCATTTCTCAAATGCTTTTTTTTTTTTTTTTTGCCAGTAAATGCTTTCAGCTTTCTCTACGGATTTAGCTACCCTGTTTCTTTTTTCAATTAAAAAAAAGAACAGATCTTGTAGATTTTTTCACCGAAGATTTTACAGATGAAATTGGAATGATTACAAGAATTTAAAAAACTAGATTTTCTATTTTAATAATTTATATTGTAAAAAATAATTTCAATTATAATATAAAATATTTTCTTGAAACTTTATGTAATTCAAAATATAGAACATTTGATGGAATTTATATTTTTTTTAATTTTAATTTTAATTTTAATTTTTAATTATATTTTTATTTTATCATACTCTATTTAAACAATTAATGAGAGAATTTTAAATAAACTAAATATTATATTTATTTTATTTAAAGTATGATTAAAAATATGTGAAATCAGATTTTAATCAATTTTTTCAGAATATAAATTAGTTAACGCTGCCAATAATACATACAATAAAAAGTGGCATAAAACGTTTAATTAACCTTTTACTATAAGTTTTCCTTTTTTTATTAAATAATGGGTACAGAAATTACGTATATATAAAAAGTAAAATTAATTTCTTGTTTTGTCTTGAAAAAAAGTAAAATTAAAAATTTATTTTAACAAACAATGAATGAATTTTGATTTTTTTTTAATAAAATATATTGAAAATATTTATAAACATAAAATTTGAACTGATGAAGACCTCAAGCGTGAAGCGGCTTCCAATTCGACCACCTACCCTCGCTGAGTCGAATCCCCAAAGCCTCAACTTCAACCTAACGCTCTTCCTCTTCCTCTGCAATATTTCTCCTTGCTTTCTGGCCGCCCACCGTCCGTCAACCCTATCTCCACCACAATGTCTTCAACCTTCGCCACTGCTTCTTCCTCATCTTCATCTTCCTCTCTCTTCCCTTTTAATTTCAATTCCTCAAAGCCTCCATCCCCTCGACATCTTCGATTCCCTTCGCCACTTCTACCAACTTCTCCCTCCATTTCTCGATTTTCAGTTCGCGCTTGTTCTCCCAATGGTCCTGCTCGTGATGGTGGCAGCTGCCTCGTTGCTCTCAAAAGGTTTGCTGGAGCTGCAGTTCTCTTTGCTGCTTCGGCGGCTATGATTGGGAAGTCCTTTCACTTGCCTGCCAGAGCTGAATCTCCGGTTTCTGTTGCCGAACAAGCTCAGGTTCTCGAAGAAGAGAAAGAAGGTGATCGAGGGAAGCAGCGCGATGAAACGTCATCACCTTTGTCTGAGTTTCTTGAAACGAATGCTGAAGCTGTTGATGCTCTTAAATCTCTTTTGCAGCAGAAGCTGGAGAATGGGGATGATGAGGAGGCCTTGAAGATCTTGAAACGCATGGTTTCTGCTCAACCGGAGGAAACGGAATGGAAGTTCCTCATGGCGAGGTTACTGAGCGAAATGGGTGACCATGAGAATGCTCGTGACCTTTACGAACAAGTTTTGGCTGTGAATCCCTTGTCTTTTGAAGCATTGTTTGAAAATGCTTTGTTAATGGATCGTTGCGGGGAAGGTGAAGAGGTGGTTAAGCGGTTGGAAGAAGCTTTGAGGATTGCTGAGGAGAAAAATAAGGCGAAGGAAGCTCGGGATGTCCGATTGATAATGGCACAGATACAGTTTTTGCAAAAGAATGTGGAGGAAGCTATGAGCATGTATCAACAGCTAACAAAGGAGGACCCGAGTGATTTTAGGCCGTACTTTTGCCGGGGCATGATTTATAGTTTGCTTGATAAGAATGAGGAGGCAAGGGAACAATTTGCCAAGTACAGGGAATTATCGCCAAAGAAATTTGAGGTTGAGGGCTACTTGAGGTCCCCTTTGTCAAGGCTTAAACTTTTTGGCACCGATGAGAACTAAATTAATGAGAGATGGTTTGGCATTTAAACTATAGAGGAATAAGATAAGACAGGTTTTGTTCCAAAGCAGTGTCTGAGTTTCAGGTGATTCTCCACCTCTGTTGATTTCTTTATTTATGTAGTACCCTAAATGCTGGCTGGATGTAGAGCCAACTTGTGCTGTTTACTGAGTTAGAAATAAGGATAATAAGATTTAGAGTTGCTATTGATAGGATCTTGTGCCTAGGTGAGGAAACAACTTGCGGTAATGGCGACCTTCTACATCGGATGTCCTAAGAGCAACTTTTGTTTTACCATTACGAACTTTCTAAGTACTTTGCAAATCTGAAGAAAAAGTCATTCTAAGCTTGTCTAGATTTATTTCACTCTTTTAAGTCTTTAGCTACATGATTAATTGGGAAAGAGAGAACGTAACGGAAGGATATCCATGAATGAACTCAATCTCTGGCTCCTTCATTTCTTTTAGCCATGCTTTAAACAAGTTGGTTTTATCTTCGGCCAAAAGACAAAAGTTGGCTTTGTCTCTTATCAGGTGTGCCCGGGTTCCTTGGTTTGTTTGGCAGGTATGATCTTTATCATTTTCTCAGTTGATTCTTGCTACTTGATTGGGATTTGAGATTATTTCTAAAAGTTTCAGTTTGGCTTTAACCAACTCAATGTTTTGTTTCAGTATTTAGAACTAATATTGTATTTCTATGATCACAAAAAATGACAAAACTAATTTTAATTGTGTGATATGGGCCATGGAGTCGCTGCACGTCATATCAAGTGAGATGTGATGACTCTAAATTTACTTGAATTTGCAAGGAAAATCTCAATTATTTATCTTCTAGGAAATTCAATTGGTCCAAATTTTGTCAAAATAAGCGAGCAATCATCAACTTTTTTTACCGTTGGAACAATATTGGAATTAAAGGACTTAATCACAATGCATCTTTTGTTTTTGTTTTCTTTTCTTTTTTTTTTTTTTTTTGGGTAACAACACTTCATCTAAATATTGGAGGACAATGTTATCTCAATCAAATTTAGAGACCAAAATGAAATTTTAACAAATAAAAATTAATAATCTGATCCTTAAAGTTTCAAGTCATCGCGATTTACTCCATAAGCTTTGATTCACTATAACTTTGCCCTCCAACTTTCATCTGTTTAATAAATCTGTCCTTGCCATTAGTGAAGCAAGAAGCAGCCTTCCAATATATCAGAAACAGTGTTAACGGAGTTAAATCCAACCCCATGGCATCCTTGTCAGCACCATGTAAATGTATAAAATGATTGGAGAAAATATAGGGAAAAAGTCACCTCCTTGTGTGTCAGTTGTCAAATGAAAAAGGGTAGAACAATCGCTATCTTCGCTGACGCTCTTGGATGAGGAAGGAGGATCAATCTCCACTTTAGGAAAAAAGTAACGTCCTTGTGTGTCAATAGTCTGGGAAGCATATAAAGACCTAATTCGATATAGGCCGTTTGTTCCTTGCATTAACATTGCCTCTTATAAGTCACTCCTTATAAAATTTCATTATCAGCAGATTGTCTGCGACTACCAAGTTAAAGGGAAAGATGATAACATTGCATCAACAAAAAACCTCAAGATAATACGTGGATGTCATCAAGATCACGTGTAAGGCTGTATAATGTAGGTGCTCCAACTAATAGTTAGGCTCTAGCGCATCAAAGAAAACTCTGTTTACAGAGCATGGTGAGAACAAGCTAATCTGAGTAAGAAAATAAACATGAAAAATGATATGGAAGCGGCATTGGGGGACAGATAAAAGCTCTCACTAGTGGCCAAAAGTTAGTTAAATAATAGTGTGAAAAGAAAAGTAGATGACATGGCGACCACCATAACCAACGAGTTAGAGATGGCGAGCAATGCTTGAGAAGTGAGATCGAGAGGTGAGAGCAAGTGAGTGAACAACCCGATTCTGTTCCTTTTCCTTTTTCTTCTTCGAGGTGACATTTAATTCTTTTTTTTTTTCCACGAATCATTCTAACACGTAATCCTCGATGGTGGTGACAAGGATGCCATGGAGGCTACATTTAACTCTGTTGACACTGTTTGTGACACGTTGACAGGCTCCTTCTTGCTTCACTAATGGCAAGGACAGATGTACATATGTCTTCAAAGTTGGAAGACTGGTGGAATGAGTTGCAATCAAGTTGAAATTGCAAGAGTTAAATGATTAATTTTTTCTTTTGACAATGCTGACAGACTAAATGCAAATTTGACACCTGCTGAAGTATCTTGAGTGGCAAAACTTCCAAATAATTAGGATAGGCTTAGACAAAGAAGGAAGAACTTAGATGAAAAAAAAAAATTTATTGCAAAGTGAATCGAGAAGATACATTTTGCTTTTATTACTTTCATCAGTCTTGTTGACTTGACTCTACTTCAAACTCTTACACACACTTTTATTCTTTTCTCTCATGCTCTATTTGTGTCAGATTCTAATCCTCACACACTCTCTTCGAGTCACTTCAAGAGCTTATCTCCTCACTCTTTCACTGGCTGTACAACACACACTTCACAGCACACTCTTGCATCCTGCACAAACAACTCTATAGACCATCAATTTATTTATAGTACTCTAACATCGGTTTGCGATGCATTTGAACCTTCTAGATTTTTCTTCGCCGCCTTTAATATTCTTGGAGAGTAAGAAATGGTTGACAATATCTAGAAAAATCGGCACACTCCAAAATTTGAATATTGTCCGTGAGAAGAGTAGCATCTGGACTCATTTGATAAGAGAGAAAATCTGGAGGAGGGAGAGAGAATTCGTAATATATTTTAACATCTACGGTGAAATGACGATGGCCATTATTTATGGTTAAGAGATTTCAAACTGTAAGCTTTTAAAAGAGATGATGGTATCTAGAGGATCATTGCTATAAGCAAATGGTGTGGTGCTTCGGCTCATAAGGATATCCTTGTGTGGTTTGGCCTTTATCAAAAGTGAGATAAAGGCACGGTTACTGCCTAAATACTTACATTTCATTTGATTTCAAGATAGTTTATAATTGCATCTCTTGCTTTGTTGATTGGAAAGAAAAGAACTTCTTTTTTTCCTTTTTGAATAAAAAAGCTATGAAAAACCATGCAAAATACAATCGTTAAATCATATCAAAACTTAATAAACTCTACACATAACATGTGAATTAACAAAAATTGTAGACTCTAAATTTCCTCTTAAAACATAATGGACAAATTAATCTACACATTTGTTCTCTTGTCTAAAGGTATGACTAAAAATTATCATCTATTCTCTCATAATAAAACCACTAATCTTATGAATAGTATATGAAAAAAAAATAATTTTAAATGAAATCATATTGAATAAGTAAAAGAGCTTTTAAAAAACCCAAATAAACACCGACTTTAGTGAATTGTAAAGAGTTGAACACATTTAAAGTGTAACACAAATTAGTCAGAATTTGTTCTTATTCAAGATAACACTTGGTGTAATGCCAGGCCTCTTTGATAAATAATTTCATGAATCAAATCCTTCAAAATAATTTTTTAAAAGCAAGAATAAAAAGGTCAACTATACCTAATAGTATTGAGAATACATCCTCCCAATTTCACTTTAACAAAAATGACAAAGAGATACCAAAAAATTAATTTATTTAAATTAAATCTTAAATGTTAAATTTTAAAAATTTATAAGTCTATTTTACAATTTTACTTTATTATGATAAATTTATAATTTTTATTTCAAAATTTAACAAGAAAAATAAATTTATTTATCTTTCAATCATATTAAAATTTAAAAAAACAAGTTACAAATTTATCATTATAAAATTATGAACTTACAAAATGAACTTACAAATGTTGAGTTTAACATTTAGGACTTAAATAAATTAATTATTTTAAGATTTTTTTATCATTCTTCCAAAAGGAAAAAAGTGCGATACACAGCAAGCACCATCACACATTCCAATATGGGTCCTCTCTGAATACACCACGTGAACATGGGAAATTTAATTTGAACGCATTCACGTTCAGATACACAGTACGCATTCAGAAGTGCAGGCCTATGAATCTGCTTGTCAGTGAACAAAGATGAGAATTCATTTCTTGAGGAACATCGAAATTTTACTCCGTGGCTCGTTCAATAAATTCACGCCAAAATGTGCAACAAGCTTTAAATAGAATATGATATGATTACACAGTCGTAAGGATTTGGTGGTACATATTAGGTTAGATGTCAGATGGTGAGATTTTCACGTCAGTCAGAACTGTGCAACCAGCAGGCGTGAGGGTAGGTAACGTAACACAGCTCTTCCTCTTCGCTTTCCCCGAATTAGCTGGTATCAGAATCAGTGCCTTCAGTTATCATGGAATTTGAAGAGAAGAGCACTAAATGTACACAAAGGTCAGGGGTTTCAGCCCATGTCAGACACAGCTTCAAACCATTCGGTGCCATGAGGAGAGGCTCTAGCCTTTAAAAAATGCACAAACCCCCACAAGAAGCAGCCGAAAAATTGCTGGGTATAAATAATTGAATTCACACAATAAATAACTCAGTCGGAATCATGAAACATCCTGGAGAGTCAGATTCAACTCTTGCGCGGACTTTGCAATTGATCCTCCTCTTCTACGGTAAAAGGGACGACAAAAAGAGGAAATTAGACCTGCCAGGATTGTCTAAAACGAAAATAAGAGGAAGAGTATCTTTTTGATCCTGAAATACAAGTTCCTTGACTAGTTGATCCCTTCGAAGTTTGAAACCACCCCAACCAAACCCCCCCCCCCCACAAAAAAATTTAAAAAAAAACAAACAAACAAACAAAACAAAACAAAAAAAACACGGGCCATTTGGTACCCTAGTAACCCATTTTCAGTCTAGATGCATTAAAACCTCCAAATACTTAATTGTCTGCTGCTAAGATTCAATTACCCAATAATCAAGGCATTTATCTTTAAGGATCAAAAGGCACATATTCTCCGAAACCAAGACTTTAAACAGTTACCTCGTTAAAGAAGGCAAAATACGTTTTACTTTTTCAAGCTCTATGAAGCAAAGGTTGCAACGTTCAAGCCTGAATCCATTAACAAAACATAAGCTCCTGATTAAAATGGATGTATTTCAAGGGGAAAAAATACCTGAGATAGCTAAGTGTTTGAAACAAACCTTTGCTCAGCCTCAATATCCACGCCAACAGATGCTGTAGCTGATATAGTTGAATAGATTACTGAACCAAATGTTCTGACCAGCTTCAACAGCATTTCCAAGGATATTCCTAAATGCCTGCGTATAGTCAATAGTCAAGATGCAACGGAATCTACTATATGTAACTTATGAATGTAAAAATACACAATATTCTTCAGAAATATTCATCAGTAGTATTGATAAGTC